ACAGCCGCGGTCATAAATATCTATACATGAAAAAAAAAATTTTTTTTTTCTATAAAATAATTTTTTTTTGGATTTCTTCAACAAAATTGTTTGTTCTTTTTTTAAATATTTGTTGAAGAATATGTTATAAACCAGAAAATGGATTTAGTTTACTGAAAAAAATATTCTTATATAAAAAAAAGAATGTTTTTTAATTCTATGTTTATTTATCATTAAAAATAGTCCCAAAAAAAATGGCCAAAAATATTTATATAAATTTAATTACATAGTTTGTCAAGGTTTTTTTTCTAAATTTTTGCGTTTTGTCTCAGTCTAAAAACTACTTTTTAATTCTGTTTCCTTTATTGATAATAACTTGCCAAACTCTCTCCCCGATTCCTCTATATAAATTTTTCACAAAATCTCTATTGCTTGTATTGATTTTGTCCACCTCTTCCTGTATCCTGTCCCATAAATGGTCAAGGGTTTTTGGTGTTTGAATTTCATACACTTTAATTTTTAAATAACCCCACAAATTCTCTATGGGGTTGAGGTCTGGAGAGTATGGAGGCCAATCAAGGACATGAATTCCATTCTCCTCCAGGATATCCATTGTTACTCTGGCAGTGTGTGGGGGTGCATTATCCTGCTGAAAGGTGAAGTTTTCTCCAAATTTTTCCCTCAAAATTGGGAAAACTGTTCCCTGAAGAAATTCGGCATAAATCTCTCCAGAGATGTTGGAGGGAAGTCTTTGGATAAAAACTTCACCATCTGAGGATATGCACCCCCACACCATCACTCCTCCTCCACCAACTGGAAGCTTATCTCTAAAGAGCCTTGGCCTGTCATTGAGCTGCCAGGTTAACAGATGATCGGGACCATCCAGCGAAAACCTGGACTCATCTGTGAAGACCACATTTTTATATTCAACTTGGCTCTGAATCCATCCACCCAGTATATTTAATCGTGTGGTTTTTGCTCTTGCTGACAAAGGGCATACCTTCAAAATGGGCAGATACTTTGCTCCATTTTTATTTAGAATCCTTCTAATGGTTCTTTCAGAAAGATCCAGGCTTAAGTTATCCTTAATTTTTTTAGCAGTTGCCAACTCTCTTTTTTCCTGTAATCTTATGCATTCTCTTTTAATTAGTGACTTCAGTCTTTCACTGGCTTCGGATGGTCTTCCCCTTTTGTCAGGTTTTCCTGCTCTTTTGTTCTCACAGATATACTGGAGTGAAGGTTTTGGGATATTTAAGTCCGCCTCAAGTTCTTTATAGGTCATTTCAGCTTTTTTCGCCCTTGCTAGCTCTCTAATTTGAGAATGATATTTCATTTTGACAAAGAAATGTAAGTAATTATCTGCGGAGTCAGATTTGTTCTAAATTCAAATGTTCTAAAAACTATTTAGACAAAAAACATGTTTTTATAGATATTTATGGCCATTTTTAAATTATATAATTTAATTGCAAAAAGCACTTGTTGTCTAAAATTAAAAAAAAAAAGTACTTTTAAAAGCTGAAAAAAACAAATGTTGTATGAAATTACATAAAATACCCTTTAAACAACATCATTCTATTTAAGAAAAATAATTTTATTTCTCAAAATTAGAGAAAAATGAGTTTTTAAAAAAAACATTTTCTTTTTTTTCATGTATAAACATTTTTGACCGCGGCTGTATATATATATATATGTATAGGCTAAATTCTTTAATATTAGTGATAGTAGTTATCAAACAATATGGCTGTAAAAAAGATTAGTATGAATGAGAAAACAGTAAAATGCACTATCTGTTTAGAATCATTATTACAAAACAAACAAAGCAGAATTCAAGCATGTTTACAAAATACAACTGCTAATGATTTTCAAAAGTCAAATTTTAAAGAAAATGATAGATACAGAAGTTGCAGAAGGATTTTCAATGATTTGTAATGGACTTGTTCAATCATCAAATTCATTAAAAGAATTAAATATTGATTGTTGTAAATTAAGAGATGAAGATACAAAAATAATTGAAACTCTACTGTCAGAATGTTGCAAGTTGGAAATTTTTAAATTCAATGGGATTAAACAAAGAATATATGGATTATCAAACATTTTCAATGGATTAGTTCATTCCTTACATACTTTAAAACATATTGCCTTTATCTATTGTAATCTGACTGAAGATGACTGTAAAAATATTGGAAATATGCTAAAAAATTGCTGCCAACTAGAAATAATTGATTTAACTGGAAATGATCAAATGAGAGATGGATTAATAGAGATTTGCGATGGACTTGATCATTTATCAAAGATTTTAAAAATTATTGATTTTAATTCATGTAATCTGACTGATAAAAATTTTGAAATAATTGGAAAATTATTGAAAAATTGTTCAAAAATTGAAAAAATTAATTTAAATAGGAGGAAAAAAGAAAGAAAAAATCCAAATGCATTATTCAACATTTGTAATGGACTTGTTCAATCATTGAATACACTGAAAGAAATTGAACTCAAATATTGTCATCTAAGTGAAATTGATTGTAAAAATATTGGAAATATGCTACAATATTGTTCTAAAATAGAAATTTTGAATTTGGGTAGTAATAAGGAAATGGGAAATGGTGTTTCCCATATTTGTGATGGACTTGTCAAATCATCAAATTTCTTAACAGGTATCCAGTTTAGATGGTGTAATTTAAGTGAAAATCAATCAATAGAAATTGGCAAATTATTGGAAAATTGTTCTAAAATACAATCAGTAAATTTAAGTGGTAATAAAGAAATGAATAATGGATTACTTAGGATTTGTGATGGATTATCTCTATCCATAAACAAACTAAAAGATTTAGATTTTAGCTGTTGTAATCTAACAGAGAAACAGTCAATAACTATTGGAAATATGCTGAAAAGTTGCTCTCAATTAGAAATAGTTAAATTTAGTAAAAATATTCAAATGGGTAATGGATTATCAAATATTTGTGATGGTCTTTCCCAATCATCATCGTCATGTTCTTTAAGATGTATTGAGTTTAAGTGGTGTAATTTAACTGAAAATCAATCAATAACTATAGGAAAATTACTGCAAAATTGTTGCTGTATAGAAATATTAGAATTAACTGGTAATAGAGATATGAGAAATGGTTTATCAGCAATTTGTCATGGATTAATTCAATCACAGAATACTTTGACATATCTTGATTTAGCCTGTTGTTATCTAACTGAAATTCAATCCATAAATATTCATTGTATACTAAAAATATGTTGTAATTTGAGAATAGTAGAATAATTATTGTACAACCTCCACTATATTTTATGCTTAAATTGAATATATTTGAATATTGACAAAGAGCATCTTCCAATTCAAAAAATTGGTGTACAAGCTACATCAATAACCAATTTTATGATTAATCCAAAAATGAAGAAAAGGGTTGTCAGTTCAAGATGATTTTTAGATGCTCCACTAGAATTACTCTTGCCTTGAGATAATAAATAACAAATTGTAGATATATTTTTAAAAAAAAACTACTTACAAAATTTAGCTATTTCATTTTCAGATGGGATTAAATTAGGAACTGCACAGCCAGTAGATTTCGCTGCTTTTAGATATCTGACACTATTGCTATACATGTTACAAAATTGTTGAGCTGTTGGATCAGGTGTTCTCAACATTGAATTATTCAATTCATTAGTGCATTTTTCTAGTTTCTTAAGACATTCAGGTGTAGATCTTTTTTCCATAGACCAACAAAATGATGTAAATACTGAAAAAATTTAAAGAAAATTTTAAATTAAACCTAAGGGATACCCATAGCATACAAAACTTTTAACTTACCCAACAACACAATGATGTACTTTCTCCTTCTTGGCTCAAAATCAACAGTGTCATCAGGGAAGATTGGACTATTTCTCAGTAGGTTTTGATGATAACCTTCCAAATCATTATTTGTTCTTTTAGCTTTGATCAAAAACAGACCAAGTCTCTGGAGACCAAAATGTAATTCTTATCCAAGTATTAGATACATAGTCCAACAAATCAGATGGTTTATTTTCTTTTGTCAGTTGATTTTGAATTTTAATGAATTGATTTTCAATCATGCCATGAGGCAAATATGGCAGAGACATAATCATTCTCACGGATTCCCAAGCTCCCTCTTTTTTTCTAAATTCCCTTCTATAACCAAGTTCCATAAACAAAACATATGTTGATTTCATTATTAAAAATTTTAGAAATTAATAAATCTGATTTTTTCTAAATATTGCCTGAGACCAGTGAAATGAACATCCAGTCAAGATAGCATCAGGCCATACATTTTGTAAAGTTTTCCAAACAATCTTTTCATAATCTAAGACTATTTTCTTGGGAACAGATAGTTCTTACTCTTGCATTCCATACCATCAAGGAATCTCTTGAAACTTTAGTGGAAGTTATTCAACTTTCATCACAACTTAGATCTTAGTATCTAGTTCAACATTATAAAAAAACTAACACTAATGTAACATTGACTGTAGTTCTGCAAGTGGCCTAACCCAAACTCAAACTAAAACCTAACCCTATAAAAACTGAATAGCAGAGTAGATAGTTTGTAATAATAGATTGCCAAGTTACCAAACTAGCATCCAGCATTGAAAGAGTAGAAGACTTGTTCCATTGGAGGTTGTTTCTATGTTATCTTCCTCAATGGTTCAATTGAGATGTCACCACTTGGGGCAGAAGAATGAGTGTTTAAATACTTTGAGATTGGCCTCTTATATCCAATGATCACTTTAAAATCGGTACATTGTCAAATTCATATTTATCTTTAGTAATTGGATGTTACAAAGTTCAACCTTAGGGTAGCCAATTTGATTATGACTTGGCCACATCTTAAGGAGGATTAATTCAATTGCAACAGGGCCACACCTTATGATGAAAGTTGTACAATGGTGTATTGTGAAGAAGATCTAGAAGATTATAAAACATCTGCTCCAAAGTCAATTTACCAATAGTCATCTTCCATTTGTCGAAAATTTTCATGAATCATAAAGTTATCTTTTCCAGTATGTAATTTTTGTGGGATGAGGGTTGGTCCGATAAGATCTTCTATTTTCTCCAAAAGTTGATCAAATTTAACATTGTCATTATCCAAATCTTCAATAAACTTTTTGAGAACACAAATAAAGATATTACATAGCCTCTCTCCAGAATAGCATTTTTTCCCAGGAATTACAGAATGAATGGTTCTATCATTTGTCTTAAATTTTTCTTTTACATTTGAAAAATTCCTGCATTTTGCGAAGTAATTAAAGCATTTAGGTAACCAGTTCAATAATTGACAAAAATGTGATGTTTCAATTTCTTTTCAGTTTCTATTTCTTTTCCTTTGTTGATTCAAATTGTTAAAAATTTCCAAATAATTTTCTGTTTCTTTTAGTGATTCTTGTAAAAGGATTATATCGAATCTTTCAATGACCTTTTAGAATAAATCGTGAAATTATGAAATGGTTATAAAATAATTTTTTCAACCTACCTCCATTAGAGTATTATTAACTTTTTTCTGTGTGTTAAATGCCCCAATTTTCAATGTTTGAATTCTATCACATTTATCATCATCAGTTGCATCCATTTCAGTTTTTTTTTCCATTTGATTATTAGAAGATCTTTTCTAATGACAAAATTTCAGCAAAATCACCCAAGGTGTTAGGATCTGTGGAGCCTTGAAATTCAGGGTGTTAGGTGCTTGGCAGCTGTAGACTTTCGTACTAGTATCGACTTATCTTCTCTAGTAATTATAGTGTATTGTTTTGAATTATTGCAGGTATAACAATTAGGTAAGTCACTTTTCATAAATTGTCACACAGGAAGATGTAGATTTAATCTTGATCCAAGAGAGTATCAACAGAAATTTTATAATCATGGTTCAGTTTGTTAGCAAGATGTACCTGGAGGGTATGGGAAAAAACGTCTCAAGGTTGGGAAAAACATCCAAGAAGTAGGAAAAGATATTTGAATTTTAAAAAAAATTGTTCTATTTTGGGAACCAATGTCAATATACTGAAAATATAATAATTAATAATGAATACATGTTTATTAAAATGTATTAAAAAGGAAAAAGCTAAGAATGTTATACAAAGTTTAAAAGTTACCAGAATAAAGTAAAAACTATGTTATGACACTGAGAATTATTTTGAATAGATTAATGCAATCTTCTGCAAGAGGACAGCAGATGTAATAATGCCCAATTTGTATTCATTCCAAACAGCATATACTTGGTTCTGCTTCTGGATGACACTTTTCTTCTGATACTTCTTTAGCCTTTTTCTGATAGAAGTTTCTCTACAACTGGAATAAGACTTGATTCCTGTTTTAAAATATCTATGAGCATATAAAATGACCCTTTTGCAGGAGTCTTTTCATTTATTCTTCTGTGCCATCCTTCAACATCATTGTTGGTCCTGATGGCAAGATCAAATACAGACCAACAATTTGATGTCCAAATTGAATGCTTAATCCAAGTACTTTCAATGTATTGGAAAAAAATTCAAAAATTCATTTCTCTCAAAGGCCTCATCTTTTAGCATGTAGAAACTGTTTAGAATGGCTTCATCTGGAAGAAAAGGTAATGCCAAAACTTTTTCAGCAGTCCTGCCTTCTGCTTTCCCCTATTATATTGTTGTGTGTATCCCAAATTCTATAATAATTTACTAATAAGGCCAACCACTGAATTTAAATATTAGCTTACTTGAATTTTTCTGTAGACAGCTTGTGTCCAATGGAAGACACAATCTTGAATAGGAATATTAGGGTAAACTGAGTTAAGAGCACTCCATATGCCTAATTCAAAATCAATTTTGTTTGGTTCTTTAGGCCTTGATTTTTGCCTATTGATATTAGCTAATCTCCTCAGATTTTCCAGATATGGTAGGCTATTTTCACTTTTATTTAAATTAATTAATAGATCTTCAGCAATTGCTCTTCCAGATGACTTGACATCTGCATTACAGATTACTCTCAATTCTTTTCTAGCAGAAATATTCACAATAAGACTTTTCCTTTTGTTATGATTGTGTTCATGTTTACTCTTTATGAAAATATTTCCTTTTTGTTGAATAATAACTGTAAACCATAAACCATAAATATTCTTATTTCTAACAAAACATCTCCAGATGGTTCTCATGTCACTTCTAGATTTTATATTAAAAGCATAAAATACAAAAATTATAAATAATAACTCACTGGAGAGAAGGGTTCTTAAAAAAATGTATAATCTTGTAATATTCAATAAACCAAATCAATACAAGAGTTTCAATGCTTAAAAAACAAATTAGCCTGAAAATATGCCAAGAAATGCAAAATTTATCTTTCACTTACAGACAATAGAAGGAAATAATTTATTTCTCTTTTAATAGCATTACATAATTCAGAGAAAACTGGTAAAAACATCACAATACATATACCTTTCTTCAAAAATATTACTATTTTATTCTATAAATGAAGTAAACAGCAAAGAGAAAAACATTTCTGATGAGTATCAATAATTATGCCAAGTATATCTTTAGCCAGGCATAGGACATTTTTTCGCAACACTGGATATATTAAAAGTCAATTTCAAATATTCAAAATGTGTAAAATTATGGACTTTTTTGTTCCACATAGGCCTCCAATTGGAAGGAAAATTATGAATAGTTGGTTTTTCCAACTAAAGATATTTTTCTGTGATTGTTTTAATGTACAGCTATTGTTATATTTTAGGCTTAAAATATCAATTGATAAAAACAAAGATGATTTTTATAACCATAGATTTGGGTATATCCATTATGTCCTGTGACTGAAAACAGACCTATTGATTGGCATTTTTCAAGCAAATGCACAAAATGTTTGCCTTGTTCCTCCGGCCAATTCGAATTTGTATTTTATACAATGAAACAGAACCAAATAAATATAAATAATATTCTTGATCAGATTTGAAAGATTGAAATTTATAATTTTTATGAAAGTTTGACATGCATTGTTTGTTCTATTGTAATTCCATAGTGGCACAATCTGTTATGGTCAAAGAATCTATTTCCTAGGAAATAAATGTCTTTTTAAAGTTCTAGAATCTAATTCTACTAATTAATGTGTGTCTATTCATTGTACAACCTACAACCATACATTGCAGTTAAAGTTTTTTAACTAGTAAATTTTACTGACAAATAATCTGATTTTTGAGAGAAATAAATTAAAAAATGGACTCGACTCTATCAAATTCCAACTCTGGAGAAGTTTGTAAATCTGCAAGAAAGAAAATAGAAAATTTACAAGAAAGTTTTAAATGTGTTTGTGAAATTTCAGAATCATTCAACATTAAAGATTTAAAAAAGAAAAAAGTTGTTAAATGGTTAAAGATAAATCAGACAATTTTAAAGAGAATCATTATAAAAGTCAACCTCTTGATATCTATGGGTTAGCTTTGATTTTTTTTTAGATATTGACTATATTTTTTATATTCAATTAAAAAGGTGGCTCAATTCTTGAAAGCAGGGCAAAAGCTGTTGAAAATGCTATGGTTGTGCTTGTTTGTTATTCACAAAAATATCAGGATAGTCCATCTTGCAGGAGTGGTAAAACATTTCCTTATTAATTATATAAAATTTTGAAAATAATTTTGAAATTTTGAATTCAAATAGAAGCTGAATATGCTGCTCAAAAGAGAAGAATCATTATTCCTATAAAAATGGAAGAAAATTTTGAACCTGAAAATTGGTTGGGTTTAATTCTTGGAAGTAAACTTTATATTAACTTTTCTAAGTCTGCAAAGAGAAATGAATCATTTCAAAATTTATTAAAAGAACTAACAAATAAGGTGGAGCAATTGGATTCAATTGATAATTCTACAAATGGAGAAAAATCTCCAACAATTAATATAATTTTTATATAATGAATATAAATATAAATATAATTTATATAATTAAATATAATGAATACTCAGAAATTGAAAATTCCTACTTTCTCTTAAACAGTATGCAACATAATAAGCAAAACTGGCAAATATCCATATATGGAAGATAATCTTAAGAAATGTCAGTTATATTACAACCATTACCAACAGATTTATCATCTAAAACTCAAATTCCACTTTTAGCATTGAAAGATTGTTTTAAGCTTAAGCTTAAAGTTTGGAATATTTTACAAACAATCACAGAATACTGAAGAAAGTAGCTGTAAAAAGAACTTTTGTAAATGTTTATATAAATATAGTATTTAATTGAGTTAATTAAGGTTAGTGATAATGAAATGAATTATGAAAATTAACCTTATTGATTTAACAGATCTAATAAAAACTTAGGGCTGCCTTCCAATCACAACTGTAGATGTTTAAATCTCTTAAATACCCAATTTAAATATCACATTTTTCTTTATAACTTTCTGTATTTTGTTATAGGAAAATCTTTTAGAAATTTATTTAAACATGGAATTTCTTCCTCTCTATAAACACAATCGGAAAAGTTAATTTTCACTAATGAAGATGAAGATGACTTTAATCCTTTACATATCTTCTTGAATCCTTTTCTTAATTCCTTATTATCACTCAGATTAATGGCATTTAATTTTGTGCATTTTTTCAACAAATCTCCAAGCCAATTGCCTTGTTTATCAGATAGATTACAATAAGATAAGTTAATTTTTAATAAGGAAGATGATGATGTAGATTTTAATGCTTTGAAAACCTTTTTAAATTCATTTCCAAAATAAAAATTCCAACTTAAATCAATTTCTTGTAATTGTTTACATGAATTTAAGAAATTGCTCAACCAGTAACCTTGTTTTCTGCTTAAATTACACTCAGAAAAGTTAATTTTTGATAGGAAAGAAGATGAATATTTCATTCCATAACATATTTCTTTAAATCCATTTTCAAAGCTAAAATTTGAGCCTATATTAATATCTTTTAAGTTTTGACAAGATGTCCATAGATTTGCTAACCAAAAACTTTGTTCATCATAGAAATGACAATGAGATAAATTAATATTTAATAATGTCAAAGATGATGATTTTAATCCCTGACAAATCTTTTGAAATTCATTTTCAAAATTATAATTCAAACTTAAATCAATTTCTTCTAATTGATTACATTCATTCAATAAATCTCCAAGCCAGAAACTTTGTTCAGCAGTTAATTTACAACAAGAAAAATCAAGATTTAATAATGAAGATGATGATGATTTTAATCCATTGCATAATCTTTTAAATTCATTACCACAGGTATTATTCCCACTTAAATTAATTTGTTGTAATTCTGAACAATCTATTAATAAATTACTTAACCAAATAGTCTGCTCCATTGATAATTCGCAATGACAGAAATTAATTTTCAATAATGAAGATAAAGAAAATTTCAATCCATTGCAGATATTTTCAAATTCAACTCCAAATTTAAAATTCCAACTCAAATCAATTTCTTCTAAATGTCTACATTCATTCAACAATTTACTTATCCAATGGCCTTGTTCATTTGAAAATCTACAACTTGAAAAATTAATTTTACATAAGAATGGTGAAGATTTTAAACTGGAAAAAACTTTTCCATGTTCACTTTTGAATCTATGAAGTGATTGTAAATTAATTTTATGCAAATTAGTACATTGATGTATCAAATTAGAAAGATAACTGCAATTTTCAGCTGATAGATAACAGGAAGAAAAGTTTAGCTTTTCTAATGATGATGATGATAATTTCAAACCCTTGCAAATATTTTTAAATTCTTTTCCAAAATGAAAATTATAGCTAATATCAATTTTTTGTAAATATTTACACTTATTCAACAAAATGGCTAACCAAAAGTTTTGCTTATCAGAGAGTTTACAAGAGGAAACATTAATTTTCAATAAGGTTGATGATGATGATTCTAATCCAAGACATATTTTCTCAAATGACAATCCAAAATTTTTATTAAAACTTAAATCAATTGATTGTAGCTGAGTACATTCATTCAATAAATTACCCAACCAAAAACCACTCTTTTCACATGATCTACAGGAAGATAAATTCATTTTTAATAATGAATTTGGCAATTGTCTTAATCCATTGTATATCGTTCAGCAATTCTTTGGAAAACTATTCAAATTCAAATTGAGTACTTTCAATTTTGTACATTTTGTTAGCAAATTGTTTAAACATTGGTGATTTTCTTCAAGATATAAACAGCAATTGGAAAAGTAAATCTTTTCTAAACAATGAGCAGAGGCTTGTAAACCATTGCAGATGTATTTTAAATGTTTCAGTAGGCCTATTGGAGAAATTATCTTAATTGTTTGTAAACTATGACAATTTAATAATGAATTTTGTATATGAAGACAATTTTCCTTCTCAATTCTACAATTTACTAATACAAGTTTACTGAGACCTTGACTTATGTAGAATTTTCCTGAGTTATTGAAATTATATAACCTTAAAGTTTTAATTGGATGATTTTTAAGGAAATCCAAATTCTTTATGTTGGAAAATTTTCCTGATTTGAAAGAAATATTTGCCAATTGTATAAATTTATTACAAAAAAATTCCAATTCCCAATCCAAAAATGGTGTATTATGACTACAGAAGTATTTAAATATTTCATCACCAACACCAAAAGGTATAATAGAAGAGTAATTTTTTCTAATCATTTTCAGTAGATAGGCATTTTTTCTCAGAAATATAAAGATAAGAACTTTCAGTGATTTCACAAACATTTTGTAGGAAAGAATGGACACTGCATATAGTCGGAATACTTTTCGAAAATAACAAATACTATATATAGCTATATGATTTAAAAACATTTGTTATATTCAATAGATGGCGTTACTAATACCACTTAATACAAGATTATATAAAACTGCATATGTGTATTTGTGTATTAAAATTTCTGATATTGAAAAAAACGTGATTTTATTCCAACGCATAAAACATAGAACAGAGGGTGTAAAACATATAGGCCTGTTTTGGGATGCATCCAATTGGCAACCCATTAAATAAGAACTGTTATTCTCTTATAAAATGATTAAGAAAGGAGGCTGAGTTAATAGAGATCTTTAAAAATTATTGCCTGGAAAAAAGTTGAGAAAAATATAAAAGAAGAATTATAAATATTCACAATTTCAGATTTTTCAGTTGTGGAGTAAATTTAAAGAAAGAGAAATTCTTTGGGATGAATGCCTTAAACTAACTTGAAAATGTCAACAAGACGTGAATCTTATCACTAATGATATTTAAGATAACAAAAAGGAGGAAGAGATTTCAATGTTGAACAATTAAACCAACAAATTTTTTAAACAATTCAAACTTCATTTACCTTTTTTATAAAAATCAGAATCGTTTTCATCATGTCAAATTATTCCTAATGAATTATTTGTTGTAAAACTGCATTTATTCTCTGAAGTTTTATAATTGAATTCCCCTTTTTTTTAAATGTATGATTAACAGAAGAAATTTCAAATAGTCAGTTATATTTCTAGAATCTTATGGAAACAAGGCCAATTAGCTAGATTGATTATCAATTTCTTACTAATGTGTACTAGTAATGTCATATTCAAATACATTTGACTGAGCTTGCTATTATTTCTGTCTAGTTTGCAAAGCAAACAATTACAAAATTTTCTATTTGTTCTTTTTTTAATGGATAATATCAAAAATGGAGATAATGATATTTTCATGAAAATGACATTTGAAATATTTCAAGAAAACTATTTATACTACTAACCATTTAGAAAGATTTCTTGAACAGTTTCGTATGATATTTCGCTATCCCATGCCATTAATTCATCTATTTTACCTTTTCCTAACTTACTTGGAATTATTGGTGTATTCATACCACCAATATAATAATTGTTGTAAATGGATGATGAACAAAAAATTATATTTATGTCTACTATTTTTCCATCAGCAGCAATTTCAACTGCATTAATATAGACTTTAGTTTCTCCTGTTGTAAACCAGACAACTGCTAAATGAAACCATTCATTATATATGTTACAATTCTTTATTATAACTCTGAATTATCTATTTTGACTTCTGAGTTGACACCAAAATTGATTGAATTGAGGTTTACCAACAAGTGCTATGCCATAGGATAGACCAGTATGACTATCAAAACTAACATATTGTACAGCTGGATATTAAAGTATTAATAACATTTTAGACATTAAAATGCTGTTGTACAAACCATGAAATGGATTATCTAGAAAGCTTGATTGAAAAATACTGAAAATTATCACAATGATAAACATTTTCTTTTTTCAAGATGGTACATTTCATAAATCTACTCTTATTTATTAATAACACTTTTTATATTCAGGCTATTGAACAGTTCTTCAATATTTATTCTAGTCTAGTTAGACTTTTTAAAAATCACTCAAAATTTAAACTCTAACTGCTCTCTATTTATCTAAAGCTTTTGAAAGTATCATGTAAAACTTTATGAAAAGAAGGATGTATGATTGAATTGCTGAATTTATATAATGTATATAAAATAAGTTCTGGATTGATATAGTAAAGAAAGGAAATTCTTTTTCTTGTTCATCTTCAATGCTATTCTGCTGATGTAGAGTATTACAAAAATAAATGCATCACTCTTATTAACAAATGAAAACCCTTTGGGACTTAAACAGACTTCAATTCCTTCTTTTGTAGGCCTTTTTGGTAGGTCTAAACACTTCTTCAGGGTTAAACTAACCCTGTTATTAATTACAATAGAGTTTTGAAATTTCCTAAATAGGGAAATATTAGTGATTTGATTTTAAATGCTTTTACAGAATTAGAATACCCTTTATAGTTTTTCTCTCTTTTGGGATTCTCTTCAGGGATAGTCACAAACCTAATAAGTCATTTGATCCCATGCATGTTGTCAAAAGTGATCAGAGACTAGTTCATTGGATTTGTTCCTATGCATGATTAGTAATCCTATCTTGTATAGTTCTAGTAGTGAGACAGGATTTTGCATAGGGTACATTGGATAATGTAAATTATCCAACTGGAAGTACAGTTAAAATCTTCCTCAACTTTAAATACATTACGATTTCTATTCTGGTTATTCATTTACTGGTGTTCCTATGAAATTATCACAGAATGATGAATTAAAGTTAATGTTTAATAGGATGTTTATCATAAATCCAAACTTTTTAAAATACAATTAACTTCTTTAGTGTTCATATTAAAGAAATAGTTTGTAATAAAAA